CAAACATTGCAATTGTTTCAGAGAGTATCTTGAGGGCAGATTAGATGCAGAAACTGAAGAATCTGATTATGACCTAGATGAGGAATACAGAGATCAAACCCTGCGTGGAAGGCAGAAATATCTCCTGAATGAGGTCAAATGTTTGGAGACAACTTTAGCAAAGCGTCGTGCAGAATTAAGACAATCTGATAGACTTTTAGCAGAGTGTCAGAGTGATTTGGCAGCTGCTAGGGATGAGGTATTTGTTCATAACAATAGATATAACTTCCGCACATTCAGATAATTTATGTACATGTGTCGAGATTAACTAGTGAAGTATAGCAGAGCATTTGACAGGAATGGGGAAAGAACTAATATATGTTTCTTGTATTACATAGCTAGCGAAACATTTGTATGGAAATCAGTGGTAAAGTTAGTGGGCTATATCTACCGATATTATCCAATTACTCCGAAATAGCCTCCTTCCCTCGTTTTGATAACAGATTCTTTAATAACCATGACAATATCATGACGCCATGTTTCATTTCGATCAAATTCTACTCGCACACAGATGTGTGACGTCATTGATACAAAGTAGTCATGGGAATAAAGGTATGTAATACATCAGTTATGTCACTATGATGTGAAATATGCCTTCGTTCTTGCCCAAATATAGAGCCTCCCAAGGTCCGCCTATATTGGGGATATTCATGCCATAGTTACATAACCTCAAAATATCAAACCTTCCCCTCTTCCTTCTTCCACAGGCAATGGTTACAGTACAGAAATATGACACTGCAAAGGCTGAACTTGGAACCACAGTGCAAGAAGTTACTGAAATAGATAGGAGAGCAGACGTTGCTGGTAAAGAACTGATTGAGCTTACAGAGAAGGGGAAGAGTCTACAAGAAGAGGTGGAAGTCCTTGAGACCAGAAAGTCTGAACAAGAGGAAACCCTCGCTGGAATCAATAAGGTAGGTTTAGAAAAGTTTTTTATTAATATAATTTTTTTTTTCCTGAGATGTATACATTATTAATATTTTATATCTCATGACAATTTTTGTCCATTGATTTGGTTTTAGCCATAATACATATTTTAGAAGACATATACAACATATTCAAAATGGAGTTAATGCTTTTGTATATCAACATACAGATCTTTATCAGGAAAACCAGAAATAAAACAAGATAATTGAAACTAACCATTGAAAAAATTTGTATTCAGGTGATTGCCTCTAGGGATGCTGAATTCCAGCAGCTTGATAGAGAGATGCAAAAAACCAAGGACAAGTAAGAATATTAAAATACCTAATATTATACGTGTAGTTATACTAATATACAGAATTATGAATGGCCAATGAATCGCACGTTTCAACTATGATACTTCATAACATACAACAATTATATCTTAGTTTCCATTCATAATCAGTCAGGCAAATTTAAATGGCTGAGGTAAATTTAAGATAATTTAAGATGCCCTTACTTTGCTTTGTCAAAAAAGAAATGACATTCACACACTACATCTGAAATTCATGTCAAGGTAATTTATATATTTTACTGGTCATTTCCTGTCTGTCAATGAAATACAGTTAACATTGGCTTTTATCATTGAGTAATTTTACAGCCACGTGGGACTCCAGGAGGAAATAGAACAAGTGAAGTTACTGGAGGAAGACAAACTTAACTTTATTCGGGAGAGTGAGGAGATAATAAACAATAGGAAAGCTGAACTAGCTAAAATATCAGACCACGTAAGTTATCCAATTGATTTGACTGTCATTTGTTGTAAAAAAAATTATTCCTGGAATTACTCAAAAATTAAACCTTGTATACAAGTTCATGTAGGATTGGTTATCTTTCATTTGGGGTTATTTTTAGCTTTTTGCCAAAACAAGAGGTGGATAAAATGATATTTATTTATTTGCACTTAGGTATTTCAACATTTTCATTATGTTAGGTTTTATTTGTTATTTGTTCTAGATTGAGAGCGAGAGACGTGAGCTTGAACACATTGATAGAGAAGTAGGTAAAAAAGCTACAGAGCTAGCACAACTTGAGAAACAACAAAGTGATAGAAATAAGGAACTAGCTCAGCTTGGAAAGGAAGTGGAATCAGAGATCAATGCACGTCGGCATGAGATTCAGGTATTTTAACTTTTAAACATATTGAAAAGAATAAGTGCAATATCAAAAAAGCCTTTTCATGGTGACATACAGTTTTACCCATTGTGTTATGACAGGCATTTAGAATTTGAAATCAGTGGTAAACAGTTTGTTAAACAATCTTCTACTATCAGAGGTTCATACGCAAACATTTTGTGCCTGAATGATGTATAATATCAGTGTCATTTTTCTGCAAAATATATACTATATATATCATCATTTAGGAAACTAGCGGAGTCCTGAGTAGTCTCCACCAACAAGAGGAACAGATGTCTTCTGCTATACAAGATAAAAAATCGCATCTTCATGATTTAGAACTTGATATAAAAGATCAGGAAGCAAATTTAGAACATTTGGATGGTACTCTCACAAAGCATAAAATGGAGCTTAAGTCTCTATTAGAGTCCTTACGTGATGGTAAACTGGATGAAGAAAAGTTAAAAGAGTCAAATTCAGCATCACTTGCTGAGTTGGAAAAGTTAAGGAATGCAACATTAGAGGTATGTGCAGCCTGGGAACTTATGTTGAATGTAATTAACAGTAAAGTGGGAATTCAGATAATACTTATGTTGAATAAAACTGCCCTGGCAACTACAATGATTTAGAGGAACTCTGTACTTGAATATGATGTTTCACAATCTTATAGCAAAAATCTAGAATGATACTGGAGGTTAAGCCCTGTTATAAAAATTAACTAGATTTAAATGCACACTTAGATATTTGTCTTAAATCTACATGTATAATGCTTTTCACAAGGTTGCATGAATTGAACTCAGCAACTTACAGAATTATCTTAATAGTGACATAATTTGTAGGAAAAATCCCTATATAGCAATATTAATGATGCTGTCAACAAGAAGCAGCAAGAGAATGAATGGCTGAAGCAATCAGTTGAAAGAGAACATATACAAGTGAGAGAACTACAGACAGAGAGGGACACCTTGGTGGCTAATGTAGAATCTCTCACACAGCAGAAACATTATATACAAGACACTTCCAGAGACTTAGAGGCAAAGGTTGAACAGTTGAAAAAGTAAGCATTAATATTGTATTGTTACTAGAATTTTTTTTTTAAATTTCAAATCAATTTATTTATTTCATATACTTATGTTGAATAAAACTGCTCTGGCAACTACAATGATTTAGAGGAACTCTGTACTTCATTATTATGTTTACAATCTTATCGCAAAAATGACACTTAACCCTAGTGGGTATATGCGATCTTGGAATGAAGTATGTTTTGAGAGAATCATAACAGCTTGAACTTGAGGTTGAAAAAGTATTATCTCTTTGAAGTTCAATTAGTGATGTAGGGAATATGTGTTGGCCAGACAATAACTCAAATGCCTGTCAATGGATTTGGTTGATGAATTGAATTGGTAGATGTCTCTTAACAGAAATGAAGCTAAATTACATTTTGTTTATTCTCAAAATCTATCCCAAGAAAACTAATTGAAATTCGAGATTCTGCATCTCTAAAGTTCACTGTGAATTCTAGTCCGCTCTGATAGAACTGTGAATTATTTGAAATTGATAACACATACATATTCTCCCAAATATGATTAAAAGGTATAATTGTTGTCTATTTGAATAGTTTTTGAAAAATTTTCCAGATATTGGAAAAGTTGAAGGAATAATTCCCTAATCAATGTACATATTTTCTTTTTTAATCAGGAGGTATAATCAGATAGAAGACAAGATAGCAACAGAACAGACTCGACATGATGTGTTGCATGGTGAAGTAACCCAGAGAGAGGCTGAGCTTGAAGAGATGACATCATTAAAATCAGCACTTCAGCGTGACCTCCAATCATTAAGAAAACATGTGAAAGGTGTATTATCCTATCCTACAAGATATATCATCTCTTACAGTTCTTTAGAACATTAGAAATATTGAACAACATGGTTTTAGTTGTTTTCACCAAAGGGAGAAGGCTACTTGTACATTCAATGTAATATGAAACACCATTGGTCTTGGTAAAAGTTGTTATTTAATTGCAAGTACCATCACTTCATATATTTTGTTAATGATAGTCTTCAAAACAAGGTTTCCTGATATGTAGTTTATAAAACATTAATGTAATGTGTGTTAATATTTCAGACCAGAAAGTTGAAGCAAGATCCAAACAGGATGAACTAGATGAGGTCAAAGAAACACATAGTGATCTAGAAGAGGTATGGTATAGAAATATATTTTTGTTATTAATTTATTTGACTAATGCCTACTGATATGTCAATAGCCAAAAATAACCAATTACTTCAATTTTCAGGATTTGAAACTCTTAACCAGTCAGAAACAAGAGATTTCATTAGAAATTACTGCCATGCGAGACACAATCAGAAATCTTCAAGCCCAATGTGATGAAAACCTTAGAGAGAAGGATCGTAGCGAATTACAGTTAGAGGATGTCAAGAGACAAATTGCAGATTTACAACAAAGAAATCTAGAGGGCAGAGAGGTGGGTCAATAGAAGAAAGTTATTTCCATATTGTTTTTACATTAGATTAGTTCCCTTATCGTGATTATGTGATGCTGTAAAGGGAGAGAAAGGTTACAAAATGTCATGTTTCATATTTTCCAGACATTATCTAGAGTTCGTGAGGGAGCTCTCAATGAGGAAACACGAATTACAGAGGTATTTTGTTTAAGTTTATTTTATAAAAACTCAGTCAAATTTTGATTACAGCAGAAAAGTTTATACAAATCAAATGTGCACACATAGGTATACAAAATATATTTGAACTCCATGTATTATTTTATTGATGTGTCACATTTGTCGCAAATTGTTTTGAGTTTTTTTTGAGTCATGGTTTTGCCAACTTTTGTTTTCATTACATGCATGTTTTTACTTTTTTATTCATTTTTAGTTTTTACACATTTTGCATATGTGCACTACAATGTATCGTGGTGTTATTTTGCTTTTATCACTGGCTACTATTTAATGTTCACTTTTTTGTTTTGTATATTGCTTGCCTCATTTGAATGATATCACTTTTGTAAGTTCAGAATCACCATTTTTTTCTCATTTATTATCCCACTTCAGTATTAAATAGGCACTGTATGATAATGTGTACAGTTTTGGTTCATTTTTATCTGTATACCAACTGCCAGACTCCTACCCTTATGTTAAAGGTGTTGATTTGATGAATTATATATTTAACTGGATAGTAATTCCTTTTAGAAAATCCTCAAAAGTTGGCGATGAAAAAATCCACAATTAATGTTGTTTTGAAATCCAACCATCCATCATTTGAGATGTTATTTACAATGGTTATTCTGCATTTTTACAAAAATATCATTCAAATGCATTTCCCTAAAATCAGTCTTACCGAAAATATATCATGCAATGTGGAACTTAGTGAGCAGCAGCATATTAAATTGGTATACAGATCAAAGTTCCTCATGTATTCCATTCAGTTTATGTATGTTTGCTTTATTCCCTACTAATATATCACTATTTTTCTCTACTTTGTAATTTTATGAGATTCCTTTTTTGATTGTTTTTATTCACATTTGTGCACCTTCACTTCAGTTGCTTAGCTCGGCCAATAGGGATCTTTGCAGCATTCAGTCCGAAACTGCTCTCCATAAAGATGAATTGCAACGCACTAATGCACAGCTTGAAAACACAAAGGTAGAAGTGGAACTTAACTTTGTTGTTTTTTGATCTCGCACTCATTTATTTTTACATTTTTATTATTTCATATCATTATTCTCATTTTATTTTGATATTGTTCATTTAATGCACTGCATTTTCTCACCTTCTTTGTTTTACATGCATACATATTTAAAGTGTGTTAATCTCATGCATTAGATTGATAAATTTGATAGAATTGTATTTGGACTTAATATCTTGGAGTAAGCCAAAGTAATCCTTGAGACCAGGTCTTTTTTATTTCTAAGGTTCATTGCAAAGTAAAAGTGTCTGTAATTTTGATCCTAGTAAATCATTTATTTTCTGAAAAGTATCATATCTTTCAAATCACATGCCTAGTAAGTAGAAATTTGGAAGTCAAGAAACAAATTTTACCACTCACTTTAAATTGTAAAAGATAATGGTTTTAGTATGGTCATGAGTGATTTATATATATTCACACATAGCTAGTCAAGATGTGTCCAATTCAAGCCAATCAAACCTTGTCTCAAAGAGATAATTTGCCAGTTATGCTATTAAGCCAAGGTATGATTTTGAAGTGTATTCTAATAAATGCACAAACCTTCGACATACATTTTGATTTACACCCATTAAAATGTATCATGTATTTTGAGACTGAATTAATTAGGCTTTTGAAGTGTATTTTAATAAATGCAAAATCCTTCTACATACATTTACACTCATTAAAATGTATCATGTATTTATAGACTGAATTAACTAGGCTTGAGAGAACTCAGGAGAAATACATTCAGCTAGAATCCAGAGTCAAGGATCTGGGTAGGTCATATCTACAATATATCAAATTGACATAGCCTAGAAGAAAGTATATGTGGATTCTGAATAATTCATATCTAGTGGAAAAAATAGAAGTTTTCGTTAACTTCACATATTTCGAAAGTTTTAAAAATTGAATTTAAAATATAAGTTGATGGGGACATAGTAAGATGTATAGATTTACCTCAACATAAGACAACACAGACAATTTAATTATTCATGTTAACAGGAGTGGACATTAAAAATAAGTTTACTTTTTTATATATATAGTGAGATGTGTAATGTCTCAGCTTTGTAACAAATAAAACAGTTATTTTATTAAAAGGGTTGTTTAAAGTGACAGTGGTTTTCTTTAATGTGAATAATTCAAAGCTCCTAGATCCTAAATATTTTCATTCAGAACAAGAAATAGTTGAGAGGACCACTGAAAAGAACCAGCTATCCGAGGCCTTGAACATGTCTTATGTAGAGCTACAGAATCTAAGAGCACAGATAACACAGGTAGGCTAAAATTGATTGTTTTATACGATCCTAGTTGAACAACATTTGGACTTATTATTATGATATGTACAAATCAACGTAACGTTTGTAAGTGTTAAAATAATATATGACACATACTATGGAGACATTGGTATATTTCTGCCTAGGGAGGGGTATACTTGCGGGACACCCTGTATATGATTAATTCCATGAATCGTCTGAGTGAATCAATCAAATTCCTTTTGCTGTATGAAGATTATAAAATATTAGGGAATGTAACGATTCTCTGAAATTGTTATCTTTATAATTAGACTATATCTACTATGTTAATATTTTAGCACTTTAACAAAAAGTTGCTTCAACTATTTGTTTGATCACCTTATTTCCTTTATAGGATGGTGTCTTAAGGATGGAGCAAATCCATGATTTAGAATCTGAATTAGAGGCAGTCAGGGAGCAACTACGTGCAACGACAAAGGTAGTGTGCTTTATCTCACATGTATGTGCTGTTCTGTCACATTAATTCAAGTAGATTATAATCACTGCTCTGTACTGTATTTTGTAAAATCATTCAGCATCTACAACTTCAAACCTCCAATAACTATAAATTTCACAGATTTTGTATTACATATTTTTAACTCCTTTATGCCTCGAATGTTCTACACACTCATGGTAACTAAAATCATCATTGTTGCAGCCTGATGTAATTTTCAACTGTCTTCGTCATCACTGTTTTGGCTCTACTTTTTTGTGTATGTAGCCCTTTTATTCGGTCCCTTTGTAGAATAAAATATCTGAGCACAAGTGCCAAAGGGAAAGGACCAAAATCTGTTGCAAAAAAGCAAACTCAAGTCTATAGCAGTCATAAGAAAAACAAATCCCATATATCCCAATATGGATGACCCAAAATAGCTTCACTATGTACTGTTACCATTTTAGGAATTAAAGAAGGAAAAACGTACTGCAGCCAGTCAAATACAAGAACTTCAGACCTTATCACAGGACCACTGTCAACGGGCAAATAGACTGACTGAAGAACTAAATAATCTACACACTCAATACATAGCACTACAAAGAGAGGTATCTGCATTACACTCCCAATTCGCAGTACTGTAGCAAAAACGGTACCATACAGTACTGTTGGAGATTGACTGTTTTCTCATTATGTATCACTTTAAATATTGCATTATTCTCATTTAGATTTGAAAACATATCAATATCAACTATTTTATTTTGAGAAACCAAGATTTCCGTACCAAAATGATCAGCATCTACTATCTATATATTTTGAAAAAAAATTATAACATTTTCATTCCTAAGTACAATTTGTTCAATAAATGCTATGTTTCAGTTGTAGAGTGGGGTAAATATGTAATAGAAGTTGAAATAATACATAGATTAGGACTAAGATAAGAGCTAATATTGCACTATCGTATTAAAGCATACTGTATTTTTCTATTCTGTTTCACAGTTTTTTTGTTTTTTTTGTTTTTTTTTAATTTATTTCATTAAAACATAAAAACATTTTTACATATTCGTGGTCATGACACCTACATAGGTATATAATTGACCACATTTAAAATCATTAATCTAAAATGTTCAAGTGCTTGAAAGTTTAACACAACATGACACTAGGTGAACCATAATTTGTCTCATGAATTAAAAACATTGGTAAAAAATAATGTAAAATAAAGAGGATGGAATCACCTTACGTTTGCTGAATATCAAAATCAGTATTTTGAAAATGTGTCATCTTTAAAAAGACTTTTTAGTTTATAAATATTATTGGTAAGTTTAATAGTATTAGGAATTTTGTTCCAGATAATTTCACCTTGTACTTTAAAACTGTATCTTAAATAATTGGTTTTGAATTTTGTAACATGAACTTGTTCATTCTGTCTAGTGTTGTGTTGATGAACACTATTGTTTTTTTCAAAGAAGTCTATAAAAATGTCACTTGGAAAAGAATCGGGTCTGTTAATACATTTGTAAGTTAGTTGAAGAATATTAAGGTCATATATGTCCGTAAATTTTAGAATTTTAAATTGTTTAAAGAATGGCCCGGTATGTTCTCTGTTTCCACTGTAAGTAATAATTCTTAAAAAACGTTTTTGTAGTTGAAAAATTGAATTTGTTGCAGTTTTGCCTGCATTTCCCCAAGCACATATACAGTATTGAATTTGAGAATATATAAGTGAATAGTAAATTGATAGAAGTGCTTTTGTATTTAGTTTATGTCTATTTTTAAATAGTATCCCGATGATTTTTGATATTTTAAGCGATATTTTTTTTATATGTTCCTTCCAGTTTAAATCCTCATCAATAATTATCCCTAAGAAGTTGATTGATTGCACTCTCTCTACTAAATTATCTCTTATTTTGATCTCAATATTTTGTGGAACTTTATGTTTGCAGGTTGTATATATCATAAATTACGTCTTCTGTACGTTAAGAGATAGCTTATTAGCACAAAACCAATCATCAATTTTATAGAGTTCACAATTTAATTTAGTTATCAGATTATTAATGTTCTTATCAGAATACAAGATGTTTGTATCATCTGCAAAAACTACATATTTTAACAAAGAACTAGAACATATAATGTCATTGATATATATTATAAACAAAATAGGGCCTAAGGTAGTGCCTTGTGGAACTCCACATGTGATTGATTGTTCCTGAGATTTAACATTATTATCTCCATATACAGTAAATTGTTTTCGATTATTTAGATAACTTCTAAACCAATCATTAGCTTTTCCTCTAACACCATAAAAGTTGAGTTTAGATAATAAAATGTCATGATTAACAGTATCAAATGCTTTACTGAGGTCCAAGAATATGCCAATAGAGAACTGTTTATCGTCTAATGCTTTACGTAAATTTTCTAAAAAAGAAAGTATAGCCAAGTAAGTGGATCTATTTTTTCTAAAGCCAAATTGATTACGACACAAAAGTTTGAATTTTTCAAAAAAATCTGTAAGTCTATGAGCCATTACTTTTTCAATTATTTTTGAAAAAACAGATACCAAAGAAATAGGTCTATAGTTACTGAAGAATTGTTTTGTACCTTTTTTATATAATGAAATTACCTTGGCAACTTTCAAATCATCTGGAAAGATGCCAGTTTTGAAAGATAGTTGAGTTAGGAATACAAGAGGTTTTGCAAGGATGGCACTACTATTTTTGATAACTATAGGCTTAATATCATCATTACCAGCAGATTTATCTTTCAAATTATCTAAAATCGATTTTATTTCGTCAAAAGTTACATGTCGTAGATATAAACTTTGGTTTAAAGAATTAGACATTTTCTTCAAATAATGTTGAAATGTTTTATGAGAATTAGGTATGTTTTTTGCCAAATTATTTCCAACATTGACAAAATAATCATTAAAACCATTAGCTATTTCTTTAGGATTAGTAAATGTTTTATTATTGTGTATAAATTTATCAGGTGATATTTGCAATTTCTTTCCTCTGTTTAATATTTCATTAATGTGTGTCCAGGTGTCTTTTATATTACCAGATGATTGTTCAAATTTATAACTGTAATGAAGTTTTTCTGCATGTCGAATAGTTTGCCTTAAAATGCGTTTATACTTTTTGTAAGATTCAAGCTTATCTTGTGTAGGGTGCTTTATGTAATTAATGTAAAGTTTATTTTTAAATTTTATAGAGGTCAAAATTCCTTCTGTCAGCCAAGGTTTTTTATTGTTGTAGTAATATTTAATATATTTAGTAGTTACCGGGAAGCATTCATTATAGAGACTTTGAATTTTTTCAATAAAATATGCATAGCCTAAATTGACATCATCAAATTCATATAGCTGGGAAAAGTCAAGTTCAGAGAGGCGTAATTTAAAGGTAATATGATTTTTGTTTTTCATTTGGCGAAAAGAAATGCGTTTACTCACTTTCTTATTAATAGGTAAGTCAGTCGTTACATATATAGGAAAGTGGTCAGAAATATCAGTTAAAATTATACCGGATTGACTGGCCTTAAGAGAATTGGTAAAAATATTATCTATCAAGGAAGCTGTTTGTGTAGTAACTCGTGTTGGTTTGAAAATGGTTGGATATAAGTTAAAAGAGTATAATATATTCACAAAGTTAGCAGTTTCTTCATGATCAGTGTTAAGTATATTTATATTAAAGTCTCCCATCAAAAATATTTCTTTATTTTCCTTGGTCATTATATTCAGAAATTGTGTAAGATCTTTGTTAAATTGGCTAATATCAACATCAGGGGGTTTATAGATAACTGAAACTAATATGTTTTTGTCATTTGACTGCTCAATTTCAACTGTAAGTGCTTGGGTATCATAGTCATTTTCAATTATAAGATCTGGTCTCAGCTTGTACTTAATGATATCGCGAATAAATATACCTACCCCTCCACCAATTCGATCCTGTCTTGAAACAAATTCAGAATTAAAGCCATTCATTAAAAAATTTTGTTCATCATTTTCTTTAAGCCATGTTTCTGTAATTCCAAGAATGTCAATTTGATTATTCAGTATCTCATTTAAATTAACAACTTTTGAAAAATTATGCGATAGGCTTCTTGCATTAATGCAACCAAAATTCATTGACACATTATGTTGTGATTGAAGTTTCGAATTTAATGATTCTGGGTATAAGTATTTGCATGATAGCATAATAGATTGGTTCACAATGTCTTGTTCAGTCAATTCATTGTATTCATTATTCAATTGTGTTGTTCTTGGATCAAAAAGCAAATGTTCATAATTATTTACATCTATAGTATCATCTAAATAATTAGCAAAAGGAAGTTCCATCCATAAATTCATGTCATTGTTATCAGCGATTATAATGTTGTTCAATTAGGTAAAAATGTGTAGGTTCACCATAAATGTTCATATTTGTGATAATGAAACATGTCAGTTCATTTAATAAGTTACCAGTCATTAACTGGACATTGACTGGGGAAAAAGTTAAAGGAGCAAGCACTGTCATAACATGATTGC